AGACCAGTGGAGTATCTTAGATGGCTGCTCACAGGCTTTTAAGACCCCAGACGCTACTCACCAAGGTAGAATGTAGAACATTGTCTTTATAAACTGTATTATGCCAGTTGAGCTAGATGTTCCCCGAGACCATGGTTCCCATAGCCCTCCACCCAACAATTCAGTCCCTCAGGGAGTTTGGATGTGTCTATGGGGCTTCCATGACCTTTCCTTGTACAAGTTGTGGTGGCTTCCCCAGTATTGTGTACTGTCTCACCCTTCACCAGTTACCACTTATCTATTGTCTGTTTAGTTCCTTCCCCACCCCTCCCATCCCTCATAACCAACGAAGATTGTTTCTTTTTGTGTGTAAACTTTTACATGAGTTTTTACAGTAGTGGTCTCATACAATATTTGTCCTTTCATGATTGACTTATTTCACACAGCTTAATGTCCTCCAGTTTCATTCACATTGTGCCATGCTTCACAGATTCATCATTGTTCTTTATCTTTGCATAATACTCCATTGTGTGTATGTACCATAGTTTATCCATTCATCTGTTGATGGACATCTAGGTTGTTTCTATCTTTTTGCTATTGCGAACAGTGCTGCAGTGAACATGGGTGTGCATATGTCTATTTGTATGACAGCTCTTATTTCTCTAGGATATATTCCTAGGAGTGGGATTGCATTTTATAGTGATTTTTTTTGTGGTGCTGACGTTTTCTTTGTTCCTCTTACTCTCCTGTGCTGAGTTCCTTTTGTTTGTGGATTTTTTTTTTTCATTTCTTTTGTTTTTACTGAGACTTTATGTTTTTCCTCTTCATTTTGATGAGTAGGTTCATTAACTTGCTTTGTGGTTACCTTGAAATTTACCCTTATCTTTCTAGATTTGAACCAGTCTATTATTACTTGGTATTACCTTGCCTTCCTCTCCGTTAGAAGGTTCTATATCTACACTGTTTATTCCCTCTTTTATTGTTCTGATGCTGTTGTCATTTACAGATTAACCTCTCTGGTTCCCTGTTGTAATTCTTTTGGTTTTGCATAATCCTTAAGAGTTCATTTCCTAGGTTGGTATCTGGCTAGTACAGTTCTGTGTCTTATATTTAGCCTGTGGTCTGATGTTGTTTCTTCTCACATCCAAGGACTCCCTTTAATAAGTCTTGTAAGTTTGGTTTGGTTTTTACGTAGTCCCTTAATTTCTGTTTATCTGAAAATGACCTAATTTCCCCATTATATTTGAACAAGAGTTTTGCAGGATGTATTATTCTTGGGTGGCAATTTTTTTCTTTCAAGTTTTTATATATGTCATCCCGTTGCCTTCTTGCCTGCATGGTTTCTGCCCAATAATCCAAGCTTAGTCTTATTGTTTCCCCTCTGTATGTGACTTTTTGTTTTTCTCAAGCTGCTCTCAGGATTCTTTCTTTGTCTTTGGTTTTAGCGAGTGTGATTATGATATGCCTTGGTGATTTTCTTTTGGGGTCTGTCCCATATGGGGTTCGTTGAGCTTCTTGGCTGGTCAGCTTTTCATGTTTCATGATATTGGGGAAGTTTTCTGTCAGCAGGTCTTCAGTGATACTCTCTGTGTTTTCTGTTTTCTCCCCCTGTTCTGGAACTCCGATTACTCACAGATTTTTGCTTTTGATTGTATCCCACATGATTCTCAGGGTTTCTTCATTTTTCTTCATTCTTTTTTCTGATTTTTCCTCAAACAGAGTTGTACCCAAGTGTTTGTCTTCAATTATGCTGATCCTATCTTCCATCGTTTCAAATCT